TTGCAGTGCTTTGTATATTTTAACAGCCAAAACCCTGTAACAATACCATTAAAAAAGTATATAATTGTTAAACAAATATTAGACATTAAGAACACAAACAATTTACATTTTACTTAGAGAGAAAAAATTATATATAAATTATGTAGAAAGCCAATTATGTGTATGATGGATAATAAAAAATATAAGAGCAGAGAGTACTTGGCCCAGTTGCCTTTTTAGATGTTATAAATTGATTATGAAGTGTCTTTCCCTATTTTCATCAAACCTTCTTGCAGCAGAGATCATGTGTGCTTCTGTGTGCAATTTCCTTTCTCTCTGGAGAGAAGAGATTGTGCCGCAGTTTACTTTGCTTGGGTTACACTGCAGTATGATTTTTTTTAAGGCAGGCACTAGAACAGAACTATGTTTCATGGTGAAACAGCTCTGGCTCAACAGTGGAGAAAGAAAAATATTAAAAATGTGAAGGGATGGAGGCTGTGTACTGGATCACAGATATAAAACCTAGCTGTGTTTTGGGGTCAAAGAACAAAGTATTTCAACATGATTCTGCTGCTCTTCCCCCCTGCCTTCCCTCACCGCCCCCAAAAAATGTTAATAACGCAGAGGCTTGGCAGCCATTAAATATCCTGTACTGCAGATGTAATTTTTCTCTTAATGTACCTTAAAGCCAGAAAAACTTTTGTGAATTATTTTTATAGGAAGAGCAAATTAGTAATTTGCTAACTCCAAAACAATCAACATATGAGGGCCTTTGGTAGGTGATTTTTAATGCTACTTCGTTGTTTTTGTCTGCCTGGTTCCTAATCACAGTAGGTACTTGAGTCCTGTGATTATTTTAGATCAGGTTTTTTTTCCTTTGGTTCCTATAATAAAAGCAGAAGTTGTCTATGGAATTTTCCAGTGTATTTTCATAGGCACAACTGCTGTATTTCAGCAATCTCAAATATATCCGGCAGTTTCCTACCAGTGCAGTCTGAGTGCTGCATATAGCATTACAAGCTGCTGTAAAACCTGAACCTGGAAGCAAAAGTGCTCTCTACAAAGCACAAATAATACCATTTTCACATATCAGCATCGTCTAAATTGCTTTGAAAAGAAACAAAGCATAAAGCTAAAAGTTTTATTAATATCTCTATTTTCTTCACTAATATTTAAATCTTTATTTTATGTACTGATTTCTTAGTAGACTAAATCTAAGACAGAAACCAGAGAATATCATAGTGAGCTGGCAGATGTTTGTGCCCTCAACAGGATGGAACTAGAATTGCCGAAATATTTGTTACAAGTTCTAACGTGGTAACAACTGTCGGAGGATCCTTTTCGTCCCCATTTTTTTTAGCGCAAGTAACTGAGCTTGTGCTAAATGGGTGCTTCCAAAAGCAAGTGACTGCTGTAATGTTTCTGGTGTGCAATGTTGACAGAAGAGGGAATCCTCAAAATTGTGGCTAAAAAAATAAGGGGTGAATTCTAGCCTGAAGTCAATAAGACTGTTGTCATTCATTGAACAAGGCCAAGAACGTAACTTCTTTTCTCTTGTACTAGTAATCGTTTTCTAGAGGCTTCATAAGCTCTTCCCTATGAATCAGTGGTAGACGTTACATTGCCAGTGTAGTTAAATGAAACTAATTTGGAACAGCATACAAGAGGAGGAGGAGCATTTCCCTCCGTAACTTGAAAGCTTACCCTAGCACTTCTCTGTGTGCTAACAAGAAGAGAGCACAGCAGAAGTTTCTGGACTCTTGGGTGATATGCCTAACATTGGGACAGCCACTAGTGTTGGAAAATCTTCCTTTTTCACTTTTTGAACTAACTAGATCCCAGTGGCACATGATGCTACGTCGCCGTAGCAACACACTACAACAATGTAATGTCTGTGGGCAAAAACCATGATGCTGAAGATGTGTTGCTGTAGTTACACACTCCCTCAGTATAGTGCATTGCTACAGTGACACAACAGCTAAAAATAACCATGTGCCATGCGCACGGTGCAGTATGGGCTGTTACTGCATCATCATTTAGTACTTCCTTTTGGAAGCACAGTGACAATGGTGCCGTAGGGGCATGTGTAGATGCGCCCCATATGCACTATAGCCTATTTTATCTTCATAAAGTCAAATCACTTCTGAATGTCCTAGAATCATTTCTAAGACACCTTATGTGGCATACATTTATTTAGATAGGCATTTGTAACATACTTTCATTGCTATCAATAGGAATTACACAAATCTAAAAAAAAGTCAGATGTTGAGATATTGTGTCGTAACCAAAAAAAATGAATATGGACAAAGGTTACATTTGTACTACTTCAACAGTTGAGCAGGCAGATTTGCACCCCCTACAGGGCTACAAAAATAGTGTTTGACAATCAGCTTATAATTGGGATCAACTCTGGACAGCCCTGGTCTCCTCCTGGCCTGCGAACAATATTTTTGGGACTGGCCTGGGACAGCCCTGGTCTTCCACCAGCCCAGGGCTGCCCTGAAGGTGAGGGGAAGAGATCAGGGCCTCCCAATAGAGGCTGTGGTTTAAAGTCCTTGGTGGGGTAAGCTCTTCAGCCCCTATTTTTCCATTGGGAGTCCCAGATCCCCCATGCCCATCAGAGCTGCCAGGTGTGAGATTTTAACTCCCAGGGTGGGGAAAGCCCTCCAGACTGCTGGGGCTGACACTCAGCTGATTGTTAGCCCTAGCCCAGATAGTTCAGGGTCATAAACTGGACCGGAGACTGCCCTGAGCCCCTTCTGATTTTCAGACAGTCCTGCTATGGAACCTGCTAGAGGCTGGGGACTTCCCTGAGCCCAGGACAGAGCTGCCCCCTCCCTGATCTACAGGATTGGGCTGGGTGCACCTCCACAATGGTGCGATTGGAATCAAAGCCATTTTATACCTTATGTCAAACATTACACCTCCTGTCCTGCCAGAAGAGTATGACAGGAGGCATAATATTTGGGATGCAGCATAAAATTTCTCTAATCCCAACAGTACTGTTGTTTTAATGTCTGCCAGTGGCCTTAGGTAGTTGTTTTGTTAATTCACATTTAGAAGAAATAATGAATCAAATAAATTGGAAGTGTTAATCAGTGAATTTGTACTTAGGTCTATTTTTAAAATTAATTTATCAGCAACCAATGATGCATCTCCAACCTCTAATGATGAAGAAGAAAGATTTAAAAAATAACCCAAACCATTAAGATTGATTTTCTTCCTCTCCAGTGATTTATTCACGTTTAGAACTTGTGGGGTTGTATCATGTTATCTCTTTCACAGCACCCAGAACATTGTTAACAGCAACAACTACTAATAGCTTACGGCACTACAGCACTGGCCTGGACTCTAGGCAAGTTGCAAATATAAAAAAATAAGCATGAAAGAAGAAATACAATTTAACATTTGTAACTTTTATGGCATTTGCTTTCATAATTCGTTTTTCTTATTTTTCCTTAGGAGTTCATATAATGTTTTGTGGAAGATGCCGTACCAATCGTGTTGCAGGCTGGAGTCCCCTTTAAGGCCACAGGCTTTGTAAAGCATGGGCATCAGCAATACAAAAGCAATCCCACACTGTTCCAGCAGTGTGCCTCCAACTTAATCTGAAGGGACCTCTGTGGATATGACAAAAATTGCAGAGGCTATGCCCATTTAATCCTAAACACAATGAACAGGTGCCTCATCACTTACTTTGTGTCATGAGGCTGTCCATTAGAAACTGAACCAAGACTAATAATTCATTACATATGATTTAAAATATATATATCAGATGATAACAAATGTCTGTCAATACTGGCATAATCCAGAATATATCTAGCCTCATCACTAAAAAGAGTTCCCTGTTATTTTAATAAAAACCCATGAATTAATTTGTATTAATATTAGACAGTAAAAAACACAAAGACTTAACAAATACAGAGGATAAAAATTTAGTCTTTATTCTTTTGGCTTATGAGCAATGTAGATTACTGTTATTTATGGTAAAACATTTTCCTGCATGCAGTTCACCAATACACTACAAGTCAATAGTTTTAGAAAAAGAATGAACCTATCTTTAATTTCTCCTTATGCAAAAATCACAAGATATCCTACTCTGATTGGTTATACATGTTCACAACTTCGCTCATGTGGAAAAAGCTGTGGATTCCCAATTATATTTAGAACAGTTCTAGTAAAAGGTGAATCAACAAGAATAATTGTCTATGTAAAGAAATGCTGGGAAAGAGCAAGAGTTCCATGATTAAGACTACCTTGAAACTTGATGCAGACAGTGCTACGAATTCAACATTTTTAAATTCCCTTTCAGCTTCTACATATAAAGAACAACCTACTCAGGGGTAAATGAACTATGGTTCCCATTTTATTTAAAATTACTTCAATATTAAAATAAAGTTCCAGTATAATAACCAGAAACTTACAACTATCCATTCACTTCTTTGTATCTGAAGCTTTTCAATGGTGTGTCTTGGATAGAAGGAATAAAAATGACTGTGATAACAACTTGAATATAAGTGTAATTCCTCATTATAAGTACAAAATGCTAAAAATAAAGTGATTTTTAAAATAATATTTTAATTTTATTATAAAACTCTTTTCTAAGCCCATATTTTCATCAAGTTAAGCAGTTTACTTGTTTTGTATAATCTGGTTACATACTATATGATCAATTAAAAAATCACAAAAGAAAATCTAAAACAGTAGCAAACTATTGCTTACTGAGACGAATGAACTCTTGGTGAACAACTGTTTCACTGCCACTGACACAAGGCTTCCCCTATTAGCCTTCTAAGCTTTGGAAGGTGTAAGATACAGCAGCAAGGGCAAGGTAAGCATGCATCAGTGAGTGCAGATACCTCCATATGTTTATACTAGTAGAGAATATTGGATTGTATCTATAGAAAATTTATAAACTACACTTATTAAGGTACATATTTGATGCAATAAATACTGTGCTCAGGTCATTATTTCCTTGCTCAAACATGCACCACTGTGAGCTATTTAAATAACAGGGGGCATTTAGTTATTGAGTACAAGGTTAGTCTTTCTGGGAACAGAAGACATCTAAAACAACATTGCAGAATAAAGCAGAATAACTATATCCTTTTGGTCATTTTGGTATTTTAGGGAAGATTAATTTCATATAGTAAAAAAAAAAGAAAAAAAGAAAAAAAAAGAACTAAATTCCTTGACTTACATCTTTTCTCACATCTCCCCCATGTACAACTGCAACAGGTATTGTTAGCCTGAGGTATAAATCAAGGCAATACTTGTCCAAAGGGTACTATTCTTTCCTACTGATTTAAACTTGCAACTCCATTTTTCATCTTAAATGGTCTATTCCCATTGAAAATAATCATCATAGGTTGTAGATCCAGACCCTGGATGAAGTATGGACTGCATGACATTAAAAGGTCTATGTTTTAAAAAAAATCATCATTCTATATTTTCAAATCCATTGTGCAACTCTGTGATCTTTATGGCTACTCTACAATACAAATATTTTTAAAATATATCAAAATAAGAGCCAATTTGAAACCTGGAAGTAGCAATAACTCTGCTGTTCTCTGACTTCATACTTTCCCATGCATGAGCTACAAGTACAGCATGCCTTCATGCAAATGATGTCTACCCGAACATGACAGAAAATCAGACTATAACAACTAACCAATTACATACTTCAAAAGAATCTAAACTAATAAGAAAAAATGGAAACTAATAAACTCATTCTGTACCAACATCTAACCTTCTTCCAAGAATTGACACCTCTGCTTTTATTTACTGATAACTTGCATTTACTGATATTATGGTCTTCTGTCATCTTTTTGTGATTGCTGCTCTGATTTAGTCTGTGTACACACATTCATATAATCTGGGAGAATTCTCTCAGGTTTGTTCTTATGGTAAAAAAAAAAACCCCAAAAAAACTGACCCAGAGCCACATGTACAGACATTTGAATGTTGAGACCCTGAAGAATGGAGAGCTTGTAGTGCTAACACTGTGCAGCTGTGGGGACAGACACACACACACACACACACACACACACACACACACAGTGTGTACTGTGTACACATCTCAGTATGTTCTGCAGGCTCCCTTAATCTGCCTGTTAACACATAGTAGCAGTACATAGGGTAGCCTTGATTGGCTAACCCAGACTGCTCAGGATCAGCTTGTATTATCAGTATGCACAGACATTTGCACTCCCAGGATAAACTCTTGTGGAACTGATTTAACCCTGGTTGTTCCCATGTTATTTTTTCCTGGAGCAGCCATTTTCACTCTGGGAGAAAAAGCCTGAACTTCTATACTCCTGTGGTTTCTACTGGGAGTGCAGCAACTCTCCCAGGAGAAACTAACAGTTTGTACAAGGCCTCAGACACAGTGGTATAGGGGGATGGGGCGTGTGTTTTAATAATCTTGAAAAGAATCATAAACACCTCATTATTCCATTAAAATAAATAGCTGACATGGGTATATTTGTGAAAGAGTAATGATCTCTTCTCTACATAAAAAAACCAGATAGAACAATCTGAATTAAAACAAATGTTTGTACCAACAAAACTTTTTACAACACTGGGACAAATGTGGCAGTTGAAATGCACACAGTGGATACAACTGCTCCACTAACGTATTTTTGTTAACATACACATAATTATAATTTTGCACCCCTTACAATGGTCCCTACAGTCTGAGTAGCCATTTTGTGTTGTCTCTTCATTAGGGCCAACTGGTCATGAAAACTAATTTCCTGGAAAGGTTGTTGCCCTCGTTACAGAGTCACAGTTGGATAATGAGGAGCCACTGTCTTTATATAGGCACTGACCTTAAGTATGTGGGTATATTTGTAAAAATATGTCAGTTTGGCATAGAGCTCCCAAAAGAGTCCTATTGACAAAAATATCACCATCTCAGGCTGTAAACAATTTGTCATGAACAATTTGTCTCTGTCTTCTTTCACTTTTTACTTTCCCTGATATCTTTATCTCTGTCTTCTTTTTCTGATTTGTCTTTTTCATATTTTTCTTTGTCTGGCTTTGTTACACTATCATAGGATGGTGGAGAGGTTGTGGATGAGGTCATATCTGTTTTTTCAGGACCGGAATTTTCATTCAGCTTATCGATAAGCATATCTTCTTTCATAGGCAGATCAACTTTATCTTTGCTATACATAAATGAATTTTTTTTCACTGATTTCTTTAAAAGGTATAGTCTATAAGCACGCTGAATAACAGTAGCAGATACTTCCTCTTGTTTTCTTTTTAATGTGGTTGTAATTGGTTCATAGGAGACTTTGGAAGGATTTGCAGTCATAAAACGTTCTTCCATTTCTATTCGAAGTGCATCTGTTTCATCACTTTCACCCAAAACACGTGTTGTAAAAGCAAACAAGATGTCCAGGCAGTGAATTCTGTCACCACTTACTATGGGCAGATCCATTGCAATAAGCTGAATTATATTTGGTTTTGGTAAATGGAGAGGAGGATCCAGTGAAGATGCAAAATCAGACAGTTTACTAAACTCTATGAACTGTGTTGCATCTGGATCAAACTTTTCCCAAACTTCATAGAACATTTCAAAGTCATCCTCACTCAAAGGCTCAGCACTTTCTTCAGTTGCAACACTGAAGTTCTCCAAAATTACAGCAATATACATGTTTACTACAACTAGAAATGATATGATAATGTAACTGACAAAAAAGAAAATCCCAACTGAAGGGTTACCACAGTCTCCTTTAACGGAGCTTCCAGGGTGAACTCTATATGGGTCACAGTCTGGTTCCCCACTGTTAAGAATTGGTGCTAACAAGCCATCCCAACCAGCAGATGTGGTAATTTGAAATAGGCAGATCATGCTGTTGCCAAAAGTTTCAAAGTTGAACATGTCATCAATCCCAGCTTCCCTCTTAACATAGGCAAAGTTGGACATTCCAAATATGGCATAGATAAACATGACCAGGAAGAGCAGGAGGCCAATGTTAAACAAAGCAGGAAGAGACATCATCAAAGCAAAAAGCAGAGTGCGAATCCCTTTAGCTCCCTTAATGAGTCGCAGGATTCGACCAATTCGGGCAAGTCGGATGACTCTGAACAAGGTGGGGGACACGAAATATTCTTCAATCAAATCACTTAGATACATACCTGTAAAACAAAAACACAAATGCATGTAAGGAGAATATATTTCTACTAATTTAAATTTTCTACTATCACAGAGAATAATTTAGGACATGTTGCCAGCCTTGGCCATTTTCAAAGGCCCTAGGCCAAGCTGCAGAAGTGTGGCTAAGAAGAAGGCCCCAAAGCCTGTTTCTGAGTGACTGTAGTGTGAACCTTTGCAGATGTGGCAACTAGCTTGGTCAGCAAAGTAAGAGAAGCCATCAAACACAATTAAACAAAGCACGAGGCCTGAAAGGAGATAAGGGGATAATGTATTTGGATTAAGTAATCCAAATACATTATATCATAGCTTCATCTTAAAATAATAGTAGTGACTGATGTAACCAAATGTATTAGAAGCTATTTCGCTACGATAGATATATTTTTGTTAAGATGCATAGATACTTTGTAAAAACACAAATAACCCTTGTCAGAGACCATAAACTAAGATAAAGAAGAAACACGGCAGTATTGAACAGCACTCAATGGGGAAGGAAAGGAGATTAGAAACCCTCCCTCTTTCTTTCCTAAGGATATAAATCCCAACTAACCGGCAACTTCCAAGTCCATAAGAGATCTGGTTTAGCCTAGTTCCAAAAGTTTCATTGAAACAAAGAAATTTAAATAAAGCCTATTGGGGATCATTTATTAGAATATTAGAACCAGTCATCTATAAATATTGGGCATAGGCTAAAGGGAAATTTGGAGACCTCAGCAAATTCAAAAAGCCCCCCTGCCAATCTGTGTGCTACCCTCCTCCCATCTCTCAAGTCTCCCCAACCAGTATAGATGAGAATCTATGTTGTGCTGTCATGGGTAGTGAGATAGATTTTGGGATAAAGGTTTGTATCCATGTTTTTATGTGCAAGCAAATAAAAAGGTTGGGCTGTACACCTGTTTCTGCCTCTTTTATCAGTAGCCTACCCACAAGGTTACCTGTAATCTGGGTTACAGACTGACCTTATCTGTTTTTGGTGAAGACTATGAATAGGGAAAAAACTAAAAATGTACACTCTCAAGTTTTCTTAATATCATCTACTAAAAGCCATTACACAGGTTCTGTTTCCACTTTAACTCTTTTTCACTATGTTATGAAAAATTAATGGATATTAACATTAATACTTAACAGAAGTTCTGGTACTGAGAATAGTAACATAGGGTGAATAGGGAGTAGGGAGAATAATAACATAGTAGAATAGTTAGGGTGACTATACATCCTGATGTCCTGATTTAGCTGGGACAGTCCCAGATGTTGAAGGCTCGTTCTGGCTGGTAGGTGAGACTTGGAGGTGTTCCTTTGAGGTGTTCAAGAGGACGCTAGCTAAGCACCTCATTGAGCTCATTTGAACCCAATAACCTCCTGCCCATAGTAGGGGGCCAGACATCCAGGTCCCTTCTGGTCCTTTGATTCTATGATTTTAATTAAAACGAGTATCCCGGAAATATAGGGGCATGGGCTGCATTCTGGAAGGGAGGCAGAGAAGCACAGCATGACAAGTAGGCTTTGCTGCTTCCCCCCATTCTCAGTGCACCATGCCACCCCAACCCTGCCTCTGCCTGTAGCTGCTGACTTTGGAGGGTTGGGAAAGGGAGGGGGGTGCTCAGAATTCCTGTTCTCCCATATAGTCATCCCAATTATAATATTTCTTATTTAGTGTAGAATCAAAGGAAGTGAAAATTACCTGTTTGACCTTGTAATTTTGATTTATTAAATACAAATTTAAAAGGTGGTAGCATACTTAAAATATTTTTTTATCCTTTCATTACATTCCTTTTTGAACATAAGTAGTTCTTACCTATTATGGAGAGAATGACAACTACAAAATCAAAAATGTTCCAGCCTATTTTGAAGTAATAATAACGGAGTGAGAACAGTTTCAGGACACATTCTCCAGTGAAAAGGACTATAAAGACCACATTAATCTGGTCTAAAACATCAGTCACTTGTTTACTTTGTTCATCTGTTTCTACCATCATTGTGACCATGTTAAGGCAGATAAGAATCATGATGGTGATATCAAATGCTTGCTTTGTAACAAGATCGAACACCAGACCTTGGAACTTGTTCTGGAAAAAATGAAAGAGTGGGTGATACAATTACAGATACAAAATACACATTTTATCTCCACCCAGAAATATATAGGAAGAAAATAGCTGAGGAGATCTAGTTCAGAAAGGAACTCCCCAGTGTAGTCCCTTTCTTTTTTTAAGGAATGGGAAAAACAAGAGAAGCATAACATCTAAAAATAAACAAGCAATCAAAGCAGAAAATAAGTCTGTCAAAATGAAATGCCCCTCAAGAAAATGGATTGGTTTTGTACTTCCTGAGAAAGACATCAAGCAGAGATTTAGATATGATCTTAACATATAGAAAGATGCATGTATTTCCATTTCTAGCCCAAAGATGCCAGAAATGTTTAATACTTAGCTTGCAATTTTGATTTGTTCCCGAATCCAGATGACAGAAAAAACAGGTGGCATTCTTACCGCTGGCCTAGGTATAGGTTTTTGTGGTTTCTTGGAGCCCAGTTTTTTCATTGCATTGTAATATTTCTTCTGTTCTTCTGTCATGAAGATGTCTTGACCTCCAAGGTAAAGTAGTGAAATAAAAACTAATTACAACTATACCTTTAGAGACATGAATTCACTAAGTGATGCAAATAGAAACATAAAACTCATAGGGATCTCCAAGGACTCCACTGCCATGCTTCTGCAGACAGTCTTTCATATAAAACTCTTTAATAAACTTATTTGACTCCATCTTAAAAGCAGTTAATTTTTTTGCCCCACTACTCCAGTTGGAGGGCTGCTTCAGAATCCAAAGCCTAGAATGTTTAGGAAACTTCTAATTTTCAGCCTGCATAGAAATATTAGGACTGTGAGAAGAGGGAATTATTCATTTTGGATTCGGCTGATTTGGAGGACAGTGATTTGATTCCAGTTGGTAAGTCTGTTGGGGTTGGGGGAGGAGGGAGGGAAGGACTGAGGCTGGGACAAGCTGCCCAGCCGGCACGAATCGGCTCGTTACTTGGGGAGAGGGGCAGAGGGGTGTGGGTGCGGCAGCACTTGGAGCGGGGGTCTGCTCTGCTGCTGCTTGCCCAGCCAGGGTGGGGGGGAGATGGGATGTGGCC